AAATAAGATTTATCCATAGTTTGTAAATCTCGAACAATAATATATTTTAAATACCATGATGCTGAAGAACCTTCACCTGAATTATCATGCCAAATACGAATATAATTTAATAATCCCAATGATCTATATGTTAATCTTTTTTTGAAATCTTAAAAAAAATAATAGTTTTACTTTGGAACAGCAATAATAAAAGAATTAATTCCACCACGTTGAAAAATCTTTCGATGAGGATCAGAAAATAATCGAATTTGTGTTTGATCATTATCACCCGATAAAACAAAATAAACCTAGCAGGAAGAAAAAAAAAGATTCCTTAAAATATGTTTTCTCTTGGTGCTATTACTTTTGAATCTGTTCCTGCATTTGTTCTTTGACCAGTAAAAACAAGAATTTGATAATAATAATGATCAGATTTATTATTATCAGCTAATGGGGTTACTCCCAACTACAAAGAAATGCAAATGTTAACTCTATGAAATATATGAAATAGATTTTTAGTTTACTTTTTCAAAATCTTTCTTATCTTTAAAACGTGCAAAAATCATTAAAATAATATAGATTATTGAAGTAAATATCATTGTTAAATAAACTGTTTTATTTTTCGAAAAATCAGCATTTGCAAAAACATAACTCCAATTAATTGGTGCAGGTAAAACAATAAAACCACCAGCAAATGTTGTTAAATGAGTTGAAAGACACTCTGTTTCATAGAGATTTGTCAAAGGACCAACTGTTAATCCATCTGATTTCCAATTATTATTTTCATCAAGATAATAACAGCCTGATGTATATATAAGAAGTTCATAATTTGATGTGAAATCATATAGTTCATCAGTGATTGGTAAAGACGTATTTATTGAAGTACTATTCAAACAATAACTATTAGTTTCTGTTGAATTTAATTCTCTTATTCCAAATATTAATGATTGATGGCCAGGTGTTTGTTGATTATCAATAAAATATCGATAGATATCATCATTGGTTAAATCTATAATTACGAGAAAGAAATCTATGTGAATATTAAACAAAAGAAAACATACTGAAAGGACAAAACATTGTCCATCCATCAATAAGATTAATTGAACTATTTAATTGTGGTGTTTGATCAAATTTATAAATAAATA